TTAATTAATGTCCTGATACTTTCCCACTATGTGACATGAAGCAGATTTTTATTTTAAGTTATTCTTTTGATTACAAAATATCTGAATGCTACGAGTGCTGGACCCTTGGTGCATTTTTTCTTGTCTACTTGCCTGGTATTCAACACCCACAACTGAACATAAAGCACTGAACTTGAACCATATGGAATTCCTCTCGAGTCAAGACACATATGTACATCTAAGCATAAAATTAATGAAAAGTTATCACTATACCACAACAGGAGTAAATCTATACTTTGTGAAACTAAAATTGCCATATAACCCAATTATACATTTGTTATAGCAAAAAAATGATTTCAATTAATGTGATGGTTTAATTACATTTTTATTACTATATTAAATTAAATTACTTTTACTTCCAAAGCTCTGAGTTCTTTTTTCAATGAATCTCTGCTCTCTGGCCTAAAATATTTCTACTAGTAGTAGCTCATTCTATTGGGAGGGACAGCGGGTTTCACCTCCCATAATAATAATAAAAATCATCATCATCATCATCATCATCATCATCATCATCATCTTGTATCCCACCAAAAAAAGTTTGGATTATTGATGTCACCATACTGGGTGACAGTTGCATTGAGGAAAAACAGCAGGAAAAACTTAGCCGTTATCAGGACCTCAAAATCGAACTGCAAAGCCTCTGGCATAAAGTAGTACAGGTGTTCCCAGTGGTAATCAGCACACTGGGTGCCGTGCCAAAAGATCTCAGCCAGCATTTGGAAATAATAAACATTGACAAAATTATGATCTGTGAACTACAAAAGACCACCTGAATTGGATCTGCGTACATCATTCGAAAATACATTACACAGTCCTAGACACTTGGGAAGTGTTCGACTTGTGATTTTGTGATATGAAATCCAGAATATATATCTCGTTTGCTGTGACATACTGTGTTTTTGTGTCAGTAAAATAATTATAATATTCTTGTATCCCACCAAATATATATGAATTATTTCTGTACATGTTGTGTTTCTGCCTGGAAGTGAATTGCAATCATTCATATATATTTTTGGAAGAAGCAGTGAGGTATATTTCTCCTGTCGGCTATCTTCCAGATTGAGTTTCTTTACCATGATAGAACACAATGCAGGGACATGGGTTTTTTTTCTTTCTGAATATGACCAAACAATAACCACTACTATCAGACTTCCCCAGTCTGCTTTCTGTATTCCAGAGTTACAAAACCCAGGCTGTATTCAGTTAGCATCACCATCTGTAATTTTATAGTTTAAACATGAACCTACAGCTGCAGGTCTGTATATAAATGCTGCCTGGGAATTCGGGCAAGTTTATTACAAAATGTATTCAGTTATAGTGGAGAGAAGGTGTGGAGGTGAAATGAAACACAAGGATTATCAGCTTCAGAAAATGAACTACACAGAGGAAACCAAATCCTGAAAACCAAATCTTTGTTATTGCTTTTTTTAAAACCCATGCTTACATAAATATCTAATGGCACTTCTAATAAAAGAATTTCAGACTACAACTGTTGTAATAGAAAAATAGGGTCCCTATTATAAATTTCTTATTAATATTTGATGTGGACAGCCTATTATCATTATACAGAAACACATACAGTTGATATTAACTGTGGATCATAATATCTGCTCCCTGTGCAAAATTTATTTAGCCTCTACTCACAGCTTAAAACTATGAAGTGGAGTTTATGAAAATGTGCTCTGGGACAGAATTTGTTTTATAAACCTTAATATATTTTTTTTACATTGGGGGAGGAGGGGGTCATAAAAGACAAACCAGTCCTGCACTTCAACTAGACCCCAATAATGAATTATTCAATGAACAATTTTAGCTGTTAAATGAAGCAGAAGACCCCCCCCTTTCAAACTAGCCAACCATATATCTAATAGACAGTGTTGCTTAGAGTCTTCCAAGAAATAATTCATAATTCATATATATTTACTATATTTCAAAAATATTGTTCAAAGTATTCATTATTAATGCACAGTGCAGTTTTACTGCTTTCCTTTTGTTTGTTTCTTTTACATCACACTTGTTAGAGTATAGACCAGGTATGGCCAAACTCAGGCCTGGGGGCTGGCTGCGGCCCCCTGGGCTCTTTTCTCAGGACCTCTTCTCTCTCACCATCTTATCCTTCCTTCTCTCTTGCCTTTCTCTATTCCTTACCTCCCTCTTTCTCTCTCCCTCCCTCCTTTCCTTTCACCCTTTTGTCCTTCCTTCCCTTTTTCCTCCCTGCCTCCTTCCCTCTCTCTTTTTCCTTCCTTCCTTCTTCCTTCCTTCCCTTTTGTCTTTCCTTCCTCCTTTTTCCTCCCCCCTTCTCTCCATTCCCTTCCATCCTTCTCTTCTTCCCTTCTTTCCTTCCTTCTCTTTTTTGTTCCTCCTGGGGGATGTTTAGCTGGGAGAAGAGAAGACAGAGAGAGGGGACTTGAGAATCATTTGTCAAGATTTAAAAGGGTGTCCCATTGAGGAGGAGGGGGGCAACCGACTTTCTGCTACTCTAGAGACCAGAGAACAAGGGATCAATGGGTTCAAATGGCAGGGAAAGAGATTTGACTGAAAAGATTAGGAAGACCTTCCTGAGAGTAAGAGCTGTTGGAGAGTGGCAAGGCTGCTTGGGAGTGTGGTGGAGTCTCCTTCTTGGGAGGCTTTTCTGCAGAGGCTGTATATCAAGAGTGCTTTGATTGTGCCTGCCTACATATCAGGGTGTTGGACTGGATGGCCCTTGGGGGTCTCTTCCAGCTCTAGGATTCTATATCAGGAGTATGCAATATGCGGTCTAATGGATACACTTTTTCTCTCCTGTCCACTGAAACCTTTTGGGATCCTTCACTTTCTGCCTCCAAAAAAGAAGAGGAAGAAAAGGAAAGGGCAGGGAGGGGGCTTGGAGGAGAACCACCTCCCTCCCAGCCTGCTTACCCTGCTCTGGTCCTCCATGCAGCCCCCAAGTTAGAAAGTTTGCCCATGCCTGGTATAAACCATAAGCTCTAGGGTTTTTTTTTAATTTTTAAGGGTTGAGTAGATTTTATTAGTAATCCGTTTGTTCTCATTGCCCCTGGGGGAAGTAGGGATAACTCTGTCCAAACCATTTTATGTTGAGAGATGCCTCTTTGAGCCAGGAAATAAGCCATAAGGCAACTGGGTAAATTTCATGGTTTAAAAAATGCCATTCCTAGGTCTAAAACAGCCCAGAAAGGGGACCCAAGAATTGATAAAATGGCCAGAGTGCAAGAGGTAATTTTATTCAAAATGACTCATGCTCCTTATTAGGTCACATGTAAGGTTATTTTTTCAACATAATCACACAGGTTCATACGTTATGGTTGTTACTGATGCTCATTATAAATTATGAGCCCCCGGTGGCGCAATGGGTTAAACCCTTGTGCCAGCAGGACTGGAGACTGACAGGTTGTAGGTTTGAAACCGGGGAGAACGTGGATGAGCTCCCTTTGTCAGCTCCAGCTTCCCATATGGGGACATCAGAGAAGCCTCTCACAAGGATGGTAAAACATCAAAACATCCAGACGTCCCCTGAACAACATCCTTGCAGACCAATTCTCTCACACCAGAAGCAACTTGCAACTTCTCAAGTCGCTCCTGACATGAAAAAATCCTATAAATTATAATATTCATAGACCTGATAATAACTGATACAATGTATACACAGAGGAAGGAAAGAATTAAATTCAAAAATAATCAACTGACAAGAGTTTTACCCCATTATATTACTTTAAAAAACATTCCTTAACAGAAGTTACAATTGTAGCCATGCAGATTATAATCCTGATAGCACCTACTTAAAAAAAAAGAAACACTAATGATTCATTGGTAAGTATATTGTAAGTTTCAATTATAGATTCTTAAAGATATATTAAAAAATAAATTCAAAACTCAAAACATTCGGTCAATAATAGCAATGTAAAGGCCTGTAATTAGTAATGCTTCAAGTTATTGATTAGTTAACAGCTTTATTGTTTGCATTTCAACTACAAAACAATTAGACGTAATATTCAACTGCAACTAGAAAATAAATCTTTGAACAGGGAAACATTCAGCTCTTAAACATTGTTCTCTTTGTAGTCATAAGTGAACAAGGTGATATTGGAGTGCATCCTGCTGGACTTTAATGAAACTGCAGAGTTAAAAATTACACAGTGCCTTTATATTTATATATATATAGCAATATGAATGACAACTTCAAACAACACTTGGCAGTGACATTAAAATTGGGCATTATAGGTGTTGAAGTATTTTTCGAAGTATTTTTCATTTTATCAAACTATACCTTTTTAAACTATGGATTAAGGAACTTAAATTTAAGCACTTAAGTTTTTAATCAACTACCACCAGTGTTTTAGTGATGTGTCCTTTTTAGGTACAGTACAAGTATTTTTATGCCAGAAATGCCAGATACATTGGGATTATCGCTTTTATGGAAAGAGCTTTTAGGGCAGATGACCTTCCTTGGAAAAGAATGTGTTAAAAATCTTGGATGAAGAACTCCCTTCCACTTCCCCTCTCTGCATTTCTTAGGCCCCTTCAACACTGCCAATAAAATACATATTATCAAAGCAGATAATCCATATTATCTGATTTGAACTGGATTATATGAGTCTACACTGTCATATAATCCAGTTCAAAGCAGATAATCTGGATTTTATATGGCAGTGTAGAAGGGCCTAAATCACTGTCTGAAAATCTCCATAAATTTTCTGAAATTATATTTCCTTTACATAATTTTAAAAATTAAAACCACATCAAAATCTCAGGAGCCTGTGCATGCCCTTGATAGCTCATGATATTTCATGGAGAATATAACCCCCTACTTTGAGAACATTGACAAAGGCCAACTCATCCACAATTCTAAAGAAACATTAATTGTGAACTATAACAGTTAATTCCGAAATTAAGGCATGAAAAGAATGAAGAATCTAATAAAGGGAATTTCAGTTATAGAAAGGGTCTCTAGAATGTAAACTTACTGATATAGTATTCTTGCACGGTGCTGGTGTAACCATATATTACAGAGTAACCAAAAATGATGACCATGACAACATCCCTGCTGTCCAGCTCCACTATGTGTGCAGAGTGACCCTCAACTGCATATTGCTGGCCATGAACAAGGACTGCTGGGATTCTGGTACTCCAGATCTGACTGGGTATGTTGAAAATCCACAATTCATCAGTGACATTCCCGGTATTTGTTTCAATCTTGCCTCCATACATGTAAATGTCATCCTGATTCAAAGAGAAAAAAAAATGAAATGAGTGTAAAGTTCAAGTAAAGTACAAACAGAAAAGCATGACAATTTCAGGAAATGTGATATTAGTACATTTTACTAAATAATAGTGACAGTGGTCTATAGCCATAATGGATCTACAATATATTTGAAAATCTAAATGAGATTTTATATAGGCAATGGTTTACTATTTACTTTTAAACCAGCAGCTGGTGGTTTTGCCACCGCTCTTCCCAAGTTGCTCCAAGCTGAATAGAAGCTCTGCTAGTACTGGACCTATCACTTAAAGGTTCAGCACCAGAAGAGGTCTTTATCAACTTGGAAAGCTGCAGAAGATCTTTATCAACTCGGAAAACTGCAGAAGGAGCAATAGCAAAATCAGAGTGGACTGTCACTTCTGCCAGTGGTCAAACCCCTATTTGTTTGGCCCGAAATAGAACCACTGTTATTCTTCCTACAATGTTCATATCTCCTGTACTTATCTCATTTCTACCTATTATTGCTTCATACTGCTGACAGAGAAGTAGACAATGATAAAACAAAGCAACTCCCAAAAAATAATGCAATTAATCGAAACACAACTTTTTTTCAGGTCCTTTAACAATCTCAAATGTCACTGTATAGTAATCCTCTACTTCCTTCTTCCCTGCAAATTTTGATGCAATCTTCACAGTAGCATTGGGAAAAGGTAAGAGGCGATATTCCCAACAAACAATGTTTTATGAGCTATCTCTACTGTAATGCAAAATAATTCGGGGTAGAACCCTACCCTGCTGGAGGTGAAACTGAAAATAGTACGTTTACGTAATTTATAAGCATGACCACAGCTGACCACATTTTGAAATCTTTGTAGGGAACTGATGCTATGATGAAAACCTGAACTTCAAAATTTACCACTACACCAACTTTTTGCAGCTAGCCTATTATTCATTTCTTGCCAAGACCATTTATGTTATCATGTCCTTTTGTTCTACAAGCGTCTCAACCGTCTACCCTTTCACTAGTTCCCTTTCCCTCTCTTAGGTATCTCCCTCATTTTTCAGACAACGGTTTGATCTGAGAAAAGAAGAATAATCTAACCCATATGGTTTGCAAAAAGTCCAGTTTCAACATCTAAGTTATATAATCAAATTAACTTAGAGATGAGGACACAAGAATAATTCTGCCTCAGACGTGAAACATAACCATAAAGCATTGATTTACACAGAATAAGAAGCAACTCCATAGTGTACTTTTGTATGTCTGTAAGTCCATGGCTTTCAGTTGACTTGTCTTTTGGACTTTTGATTTTATGGAACTTTTTTCCACTGAACTTTGAAATCTTCAGTGTAACACGTAGGCTTGTGCAAAAATTTTGGATGTTTTGTAAGTGGTATTAAAATTCATTGAATCTGTACTTCTGAAGTGATATCCAACAAGTGGGTGTGGCCTGCACCTAAAACTTAAGAATCAAAACTTACCCAACCCTTTTACGTTTTATTTTTTAAATAATAATAAATTTTATTTATATCCTGCCCCTTTCCCAAAAGGGACTCAGGGTGGCTTACAAAAAAAAAAGCCAATCAGAGTACCAGTGAATAATTGAATCTGCAAAGAAGACTGACTGATACTTCTAGTAAGTAGTAGTAATAGTAATAGTAGTAATAATAATAATAATAATAATAATAATAATAATAATATTTAAATCAGTGCTGGCTGGAAAGCAATCCCTAAATGGATGGCCCTTGGGGGTCCTTTCCAACTCAATAGGGGAAGCGTACTAATTAGTTTAGAGACTGGATGGCCATCTGTCAAGAGAGATTTGATGGTGTCCTTCTGCCTGGAAGAAGGGGGTTGTAGTAGATGGCTCTTGGGGGTCCCCTCTAACTCTAGGATTCTACGAAAATGTAGAATTGGTTTCTATTGGTTAATATGAGAAACATTCAATGAGATAGCTGTTGTGGCTTTTTAAAAAAGCTTTGGCAAAACTTTTTTTAAAAACTCCCCAAAACTGTAGATGTATGAATATTTCTGAAAGTTGTAGGGAATGATTTCCCCTGTTATCTTGTGTCATTGTATAGAAAATTTAAGGAGATGGCTTTGAAAATTCCCCAAAAATCAGTGAATAAGTGAAATGAAATTTGGTGGGCTAACAATAGTAAATGTGTTCTACCATTGCTGTACATTTCACCCCAATAGCAATGAGGGAGAAAGAAGCCCCTGTATGTTTCCCCAATTACAGTAATTATGTGCTATTACTGTAACAAAAAGTAACAAAATTTCATTACTCTCATTATAGTAATGAAATTTTCATTAACTATACTTTAGAAATGAAATGACAGTACCCCCTAATTTTGTAATGACTTTTGAAACATTTTTAACGACTGCACATGCCTCGTAACAGGTCTAGTGCCTGCCCAAGTCTTTGCGAAGCTTTCCAACAAGCTGAATATTTAGTTGATTTCAGAACCAAAGACTGTCACGAACATTCTAAGGGAAACATCTTCTTTCAATGAATGTTCCAAATCAGATCAGTCAGAATAGCTCAGCATTACCATTACCACCTAATCTTTCTGTACCATACACTGATTATCACTACAGATTGCAACATAATTATCTTGTTCCCATTATATTCTTTTAAACTACTCCCCTCTCTATCTACGCAAAAATGCTCCATCTAGATTACAATACCGTAATTAAGTACAAATCTAATCATTCCCTTTTATTATAGACACAATTACTGTTTGAATATCCTGTGAGAATTACAACTAAAAGCATTTCAGATCTGCTTCCCATTTAAAAATAATCTATAAGTACATTAACTAAATCTGTAAAAACACTACTCGGCTAAGAGCCTCCTAAAAAATAATCCCACCTTTGTTATCACTGACTTTCCTTAAACAATTTCCTTAGGGGGAAAAACAGTTCAAGTTTAGCAGAATGTCAGTGACACTCAGAATCATTGTGTGGAAACTCTATAGAGACATCAAATTAAAACAGGGAAACAAAATTATCAATTAGATAATTTTCTCTTCCTTCCACTGTGCTCAGTGGACCTTGTGTTGATGAATAACAGATGACTGGAAGTAATACTCTGAATCTCTAAGCACCAATCAAGCAACTCTCATTGAAATAAATGTTTTGTGTGGCAATTGTTTTAGGAGCACAGCTCCAAATGTTTTTCAATAAGCTGTCACTTTTTGAGACCAGTTATGCTAGCATATCAATACAACATAAACTGAAGCAATTAAATTGAACTCATCAGACTACAACCTCCAGTTGAAAGTATTTTATAAAGCATCACCTCACATTTATCCTCCTACAGTGTTTTGATTTTGTTATGCTCTCTAAAAAGCTTGTACTCTCTGTGTGTGCATGTGCATGCGTGCACACACACATAATTAAAAAGCAAACCAACAGTATTCCTTTCTGGATTCCGGAATAAAGACATTCTTTGCAACCTGATCCGCTGCATTTCTAAATGGAAATTCTTAAACAGAGCAGATGCTACCTTTTTAAGAGAATAGCAAATTGTATTTTAGAATTAAGCACCATGGCTTGGATGAAACAAATGCATACAAGCTGTAAAATACTTTAATGTCACAAGCAAAATGGTGATACAAGCATTTGTATGCTTTATATTTCCTCCTTTGTTATACAAATGCATTAAATGAAAATGGAGCAATCCTATGCATATTTACTTGAATATAAGCCCTAATGTGTTCACATAAGATTTACTCTAAAATAGTTGTCAATTCCTAAACACAATGAGATATACTCCTCACTATCTAAATCAGTGGCACTTATTCCCAAATGAAACATTTGTCTGAATGAAATGTTAAATACTTGATAGGATTTTATGTCAATATAGATTTGACTATTTAAAGATAATACCATATTTCATTGTTTAACAGTAACATTTTTTGCCCTTCAGAGGGAAGAGAAAAAGAGGGCGACCATTACAACAAGAAAAATTGCCAGACAGGCCCATAGCCAGGATTTTGAATGGGGGGGGGGAGTTTGATTCAGGGGGGGGGCTGAGTCTGAGTGAAAAAGGGTCTACCCTAGCAAACCTTTTGTATCGTTACCCCAATACCCCCATGCATATGAGATATATTGAGCATGGTGATCAGATCATGATATGAATAAACATAACAGTTTAAATAATGTACCAGTAAGGCCTTTTCGCAGAACACCATGAGAATTTCGGGGGGGGGGGGTGAAGCCCCAAAGCCCCCCCCCCCCCGGCTACATGCCTGTTGCCAGATTCTTCCTTTCCCTCTTCCCCTTTTAAACAACAAAGCTGACTATGCTCCTCACTTCTTGGAAGTAAGAGGAGGAAAGCCACAATCAGCTCCAGTTTGTTTTGCCCTAGTCATTGTCTGGTGTTATGAAGAGGCAAACATTTGCAACAACACCTAAAGAGTAACTGCATATCTCTCATGGGGCCAATATCCTTCTTCAATTGACATCTTTCTGTATCGGAGAAGACATTTAAATGCACTAACAAAGAATTACAGTAGTAGCAAACTGACTAGAGGAGTAGCAGAAGAGTCCCTGATTGGACATTTTCAGATAACACTTCTGGTGACAAATTAGATGAGCTTAGGAAGTGAGGGGTCAACACTTCTAGAACAAAATTAGTTTCCTACAGGTCTGATGAAGAAGCCAGATTGAGAATTACTGTATTGTGCCACAATACCAAAGCCATACTTTCCCTACAAAGCAGGGAATATAGGTTTGATGCTATGCCAGGTTTTGCTTGTTATCTAGGGACTTCCTGGTAAAATAAGATCATCTGTCCCATTTCCATGTTGTTCTTTGATAAGTAACCAAGTGACAAAAGTTATTACCTGTATAAAGATTCCACAGAACCAAACTAGTGCTTATAAGTAAACCAAGAGGACCTATGTGGTGGTATGCATATGGATTCCAATATGGCCAGTTGACCTGGTGCTGAAATTTCATTATTGAAAATGAAGACTCAGAAGATACCACTCGTTGTTGATTCAGGGAAGATGAGGGTTGAGATAGTCGGGATTCAGCATGGTGGAGATTGGGTCTTTCTAAGACACCACAGACACTTCAGTCTCAAGGATGACTGACTTGGAAAATAAGACATGAACCTTTCCTTATTAGTAAATATAAACATATAACCTGCACATCACCCATGGGCTCTTGTGACTTCTCCAGAATATGTCTCATATCAGTGAATTCTAGCAATGGCAAATCTGTAATCTCCAGGAAATTTAAATGTTTCAAGATGTGTCCTGATGTTGATTCAAAAGTGGAAAAGAGCATAATTATAGCTTTAATTGAGCTATCCATATGGCATGACCTCTGTTTCCACTAAGTGTGTGTTCCTAGTCTTCACATGGATACATGAAATTGTGAACTTTATATAAATGATGGACTTCTAGCCCAAAAATACAATAGTCGTTCTGGATTACCTAGAATATGCACAGAGAGGATATGTTTCATTGGATGTGGCTAAATTAAACCACAGATACTAGTCCTGCAGATAGGAGAGGCTTTACTGTAAGTAGTGGTTCCTGACAACCCTTATTCTTGTGTATCTTCCAATATGATGAACCTGATGTCTTTCATTTGTATGGAATGTCATGAACCAACACAAACATTGATGGTACACAGGAAGATGCTACAAACACTGAGCGCAACTGTAATACTGTAAACACTGAGGACAAAAGAGATTCTGTAGAAGAAAGTGATCCCAAAAAGAGTGCAGATGAAAATAAATTCTAGAACAATTTCTCCACATTGGAAAGTAGAGGTGATTTGTGAGGGTCTGTCTATTGACAAAGCACATAGGGCACTTAATTGACTAGCCAGTTGGGAATTCTTTCCTCTACAAGCAACAAACTTCTTTTTAAATGGGTTTGAAACAACAAGTGTCTGGTTTAATTGCCATGAACTCAGAAATATAGAAGTGATGAGAAAAATATATTTCAAGGTGTAGGAAGAACCACTGAGGAAATGATGAAGTACAATAGAAGCTGGGTGAAGAAGAAGAAAATATAAAGAAAAAATTCAGCTAAACCAGAGTAGACTGAAATCCTAATGGACACAGGATTTCAAATTTGCTGCTGCAAATCTGCAGCAGGCAAGGTGAATGTGGGAGGCATCATGGGCTCCATCCATTATGCACAAGTATAAGTGGGTGAGAGTCCTCTCAAAATTGCAAAGTTACGCTCAAGGTGTTTCCAGTCTGCTCTGTGCAGGAATAGAGCAATGATATGTATGAGTAACAGAAACAAAGAAAAAAGAAAAGAAAATGCTGGTTGTATGAAACTGTCCATAAGCTGATCCACATTGAGACTACATGGATATATCCATGTCCAAAAGATCCTGAATCTACAAAACACAGCACCAATGTCCAATACCATGTGCATGACATTCCTTTACACTTTCTTAATCAGATAGTTGGTGCTCTCAGTTTGGACTGTACGGACTAATTCACCCACTGAAAAGGAACTGATTCTGAGTATCCCTTGCATCCTCTCTTCCCAAAAGATGATCAGCACTGTCAAAGTTGACAACATCAGGCATTCTTTCAGATATTGAGTTCCTAGCAAGCAGCAGTGTCAGAAAGTGTATAGTACAAACAGATCCATACATCAAAATCAGTCTATGAACTCCTTGCTACCAACACATGTATCTCATTGTGAACCAGAATACAGGATCACATCACATGTTTTTCAAATTTGCTTCAGTTCCTAACTCCTAGTACATTATGCTATTATGTTGTTACTGTTTTTACAGGGATAAAAAAAAAAGCAATTGCAGAACTGGAAATATTTTAGAAACAAAACCATCTCTGTAATTCCTAGTACTTGCGGACCATAGGTGATATTTTCAGTACACATAAAATTGGAGATCACATTATAAGAAACTTCTAATCACTGCCCCAAAAAATATCGAAATACTATAAAGGGGTAAACAGCAATTGTTGGAAATGTGGCTCCCAACTGGGATCATACTTCCATGCTTGGTGGAGGTGCAAGAAAGTGAAGGGATTCTGGGTGGAGATCCACAAGCAGACTCAACAAATAATACAGACAAAATTTGAACTAAAACCCGAATATTATTTACTTTACTTACTAGATTTTAACCTAGACCCCAACAAAGACAGGATACTATATCATTTAGCAGCTGCAGCAAGAACCGTCCTGGCGAGCAAGTGGAAAAAAAGAGAGCTCCCAACAACGGAAGACTGGCTACTAAAAGCCAGGGACCTAATGGAAATGGACTCACTAGCTAATCTAATGCACGATAAAAGCAAGAAAAGAAGGATAGATTGGGAACCAATGAGGTCATACTTAAAGGAAAAGAAAAACATTACTCCAGAATGCTGGGGTAGGAGGTAGTGGAAACAACTAAGATGAGATGAAGAAAGGCTACAACAAACCCCTGGTCAACCCCGCAGACTATTTAGGAAGTCAAGCTTTTTTTTAAACTGTACCCCCCCGCCCCTCCCCCTAACCCTCTGAACCCAACCTCCCACCGTCACCCCATTCCCCTTTCTCTCCCCTCTACCCGCCCATCACCCCCCCTTTGCCTTTCCTACCCCCCATGTCTTTTTTATATATGTCTCTTATTGAAAATGTGAATAAAGATTATTTATATAAAAAAAGAAACTTCTAATCACTGCATGGTTGTTTTATGGTATGATGGTTTACTAATGGAATAAAGTATGCTTTGTTCAAATTCTAAAATACAGAAACTAAAATACAAATTAACCAAGTTAGACAATCATTACAGCACAGTGGTTTAAGGAACTGAGTTTTAAAGGATAACTACTAGAATTTCACAAAACAATACAGTAGTAATACAGAAATTTGCAAATTTAAGTATTAACCTAGGGAAGCCAAACCTGATATAAAGCAATGGTGTGTCCATATCTTTGAAGGGGCCCTTTTGACACAGGTACCACATTCCAGATGCTGCTTTCCAAATTATAGCTAGAAAGACAAAAAATACAAGTTTTGCTAGCTGGAAAAGTATCCTAGATTTCTGCAACTGGTAAAAAAACATTATTTTCTATTTATACATTGTATGCATAACACACTATGAGTACTCCAGCTTATTTACAGTTCCAATTAGCATCTCAATAGCTAGATGAGCATTTACATGTACTGCTTGATCATTTTTTGTTAGAGAAAAGTTCTAAATGTTAAAATATATATGTGGCCATTTAAAAGCATATGACTTTAAAAACCAATTAAACCACATGTTATCTAACAATTTTCCCTTTGGATATAAACAGCAAACATTTCTAGCCAAATACCACTGTGATTGTGATGTCTGATTATATTATATATCAGCCTTTCTTATTCATTGTCTTGAATAAGTCCAAATGGTTCAAGGATATGACACTGAAATTCCGATGAAAGAAGGTGACCTTGCAGAATGTGATTCTCACACATTCTACATTTTTAATTAAGACTCTGTAGCCTCCATGAAGAAATTATAGAGTACAGAATTGTGCTGCACAGAATTTACATTACATTGCAGGAAAAAAACAGCTCACAGTTGTTATCACTTCAACACTCATTGATGCAGTATTAACATTCAACCTTGCTTTTCCTGAAACAATTGATATTTTCCAATGTATACAGCTTATGAATACAGAATGTATACAGCTTGGAAAGTTGACATCAACAACATGTGCACTGGATAGTTGACATCAACCACATATCTCCTGCCCAAAGGAAACTACCTGACTGGGCAAAGGTTGGAGTGAATACCTCTTTGTACACAGAAAAAGTTCCACTATGACTAGAGCTGTGGTGGGATTGTTGCTTAGACAGCATTCCTCCTAACCTATCATATTGGAAAAATCTCCAATATTCAACAAGGTCCTGAAGTGAGTGGTGTCTTCTCACCTACAATGCATCATGCAGGAGATGGACTACTGAGCTGAGCTCTGTTTAGTTCTGGCTCCAGGCCTGGTTATGGGAAAGAGATTGCTGTTCAATTAAGTATACCATGAACTGGACAGTAGCAGTGTGTTTCATAAGTTTTGCAAACTTTTCAGCAGTGCTCAATACCACTGACCATAGTATTCTTCTGGGCCACCTCTCTGAAATGGGATTTGAGACTCTGGTTTCCACTGGCTTTGGTATAGTGCTGACAAATCCATGGCTCATGCTGACCCTCAAGAGTGTGTGCTATCTTTCATTCTGTTCTATATTTACATTTGAAATATTGCCCAGAATTTTGGAGTTCTGTGCTACCAATATGTCTGTAATAGCGTAATTATATGTGTCAGCAACAGATTGGATGAGCATGAATAAATCAACTGACCAAGGTAAACACTTGGTCAATTGAAATGCAAATCAACTTCTACCAGGGAGGGTTACAGTCTACCTGAGATGTAGGTATGCAGTTTTGGTGCATCCCTGGATTCAGCTCTGATCCTGGGAATCCAGGTTAAACAATTAAAGCTAATAAGCTATCTCTGCATGTTTCTGGAGATCTCTGATCAGTATTAATTTATTTATACCATACCCAGCTTTATCTTCCCAAAGGTGACTCAAAGTGGCTTGGCATAAAAGCATTAGTATACAATTTTAAGTATACAATAATTAAAACAGAATTAAACTCAAACAGCACTAAAAAAATTCATAGTTAAAATATATCAAAACATATTCAAAGTTAAAAACCACAGCACCCCCTGACTCAATCTTAAACACCTTCATCTTTAAATGCCTGTCTGAATACAAAGCTTTTGGCCTGCCGCCAGAAGGACAGTAAGGAGGGGACCATTCTGGCTTCCCTGGGCAGGGAATTCCAGAGTCATGGGGCAGTCACAAAGAAGGTCCGCTCTCTCATTAGAACCAATCGTGTTTGAGATAGAGGTGGAACCAAGAGAAAGGCCTCTCCTGAAGATCTCAGGGCCCAGGCAGATTTGTATAAGGTATCTAGGTCCAAATTGCCTGGACCTAAACTGTCTAGGGCTTTAAAGATCATAACCAGCACTTTGAATTGTGCCCAGAAACAGTGGAGCTCCTTCAACAGGGGGTTGTCTGCTCCCTGGAGCCAGCCCTAGTTAGGAACCTGGCTGCAGCTCTTTGGACCAGCTGAAGTTTCCAAGCACTTTTCAGAGGCAGCCCCACATTGAACATGTTATAGTGATCCAGATGGGATGTAACTAAGGCATGGACCACCATGGCCAGATCTGGCTTCTCAAGGAATGGGCACAGTTGGCACACAAGTTTTAATTGTGCAAAGGCAGTTCTGGCTAACATAGATACCTGGGTCTCCAGATTCAGTGCCGAGTTCAGGAGAACCCCCAAAACTGCAGACCTGTGTCTTCAGGGGGAGTGTGACCCTGTCAGTGCTGGCTGGATCCCTATTCCCAGGTCTGCCTTCTGACTGACCAGGAATACCTGTCAGTCAGAAGGATTGTTTGGATTAAGTTCCAACTTGTTTGCCCTCATCCAGTTCATTACAGATGACAGGCACTGGTTAAGGTTCAGGACAGCTTTCTTGGCATTAGGTGGAAAGGAGTTGTAGAGTTGGGTGTCATCTGCATATAGGTGGCACTGTACTCCAAAACTCCCAGCAGTTTCATGTATATGTTAAACAGCATAGGAGGAAAAATTGAACCCTGATGAACACAAAGGGTCAACGACCAGGGGTTCGAACAGGAGTCCCCACCACCTCCTTCTCATTGTGTTTAGGAAGTGGTTTGATTATTCATCTGAGTGTTACTTTACTCTGATGATATCCTTCTCTTTTAATTTCATTTAGCACAAATACTATTACGTACCAAGGTGAGTGGTGCTCAATGACCCTTGTATAAAATGTAATGTAATATGGACAGAGGACCCATTTTCATTACACTTTTCTTTCCAACAGCCACTGGTCTATTCAAAACATCAGTGTGACGCCTATACACATGCACACATACACACTACAATGTGAACTCCAAGCAATGAGGCACGCAGTGGTTGTGCTGCACACATTAGTTTTTCTTGTATTTTTATATAAATGTAGAAGCAAAGCATACTGGAAGCAAGCAGGCAAACTCTCTCTCTCTCTCTCTCTCTCTCTCTCTCTCTCTCTATATATATATATATATATATATATATATATATATATATATATATAAGCGCTAGCCCAGCATCAGATTCCTAGAATGAGCCTATTCATCTCCAAGGGTTTCACTTTTGTTCTTTTATGCAGCCTACACTTCTCTCTCTCTGTTTTGTGCAGAGCTGTAAAGCTATGAGAGATGTAGACAGGTGTATGACAAAATGCTATCAGTGTTAATATTTTTGGACACAACTGGCAAAGGAAAGACAAAAGAACTGACTTACTTTAATACCATCTGGAAAGTACTGTAATTGAATGCATATCCACCAATCACCCACATAAACTTGCCATGTAGAACGGCTTTATGAGAAGCACGGCTTACAGATGGACTAAATGGCTTCACATTAGGCAGAATCCAGTATGATTCCATAGAAGGAACATTCAAAGAACAGTCGGGACCTGTTTAAAAAGAGATTGAGAGGAGAAAATCATCTGGACTGTACAAACATTAACCATTTGAAATACAGGTTGAATATCCCTTATCCAGAAATCGGAAATGCTCTAAAATACAAAGCTGATCACCAGAGGTGCTGGGGTGCTTATACCTTTGCTTTCTGATGGTTCAATTGAACACAAACTTTGTTTCATGCACAACAATATCAAAAATATTGTGTATAAAATTAGCTTGAGGCTATCTGAATAAGATGTATAAGAAACATTCATGAATTTCATGTGTGGACATGGGTCACATCTCAAGATAACCTCATTCTGTATATGCAAACACTGCAAAAGGGGGCAACATCAAGGGCCTTATGTCTCCTTCCACTTCACAGATCACAGAGGAAGGAGAGACTTCCACAAGCCTCTCCTATGAAAAAGAAACCACAACAGTAGACAATGTCACCTCTTATCCCATTTTGATCAGCAAATGTAAGATTAGTCCCCTTTGGAACTATGATGTATTCATGGGCTAGAATAGAATTTGATTACTTATACAAAACAACTGAAGCATCAATATTCTCAGTGGTTTGAGGGAATGATTTTCAAGGGGAACTCAAGAACACTGGAATTAGCAGCTTGCCTTCCATACTGATTTCTGCCCCCATCAATTTGTTTGTGTTGGTTCAATGCAGCAAGATATTGTTATAGAAGAATTTTTTGGATTTCAGCAATAGTGCCCCAATTTTACAGATTTCCCCAAGGAATCCTGAGCTTAGGAGTGACTAGAGCAGAAACAGTAGGACAATTGGCCCAATTTAAAACAAGTCAAGCTGTTGCTCACATAGAGCGGCAATGCCTTCTGCACAATATATCTCAGAATCAAACTCCACACTTTCTTTATATGCAGCAAAGAAACAATAATGATTTTTGTACTAGTATTGGCAGAGAAATCTTATGAAGACCCACGTCAAAAGCACTTTTCAATAACACATTTCAGTGTACAGTGTTGAATCTGAAATAAGTAACATGCATATTACAAAGTAAGATAACTCTCCATTCTAAGTCATTGTGAAAGGGGCATCTGTCTTAGTCTTTTTCAGAACTTGGAAAAGTTAATGTTTTAAACTGCAACTCTAAGAATCCTTCAAACAGAATAGGCAATTTCCTGAAACCTTTTTTGGAATTTTATGTAACTGATAGTGTCAGTAAAGATTATTTCCTACCTAACCCTATCTGAACAGATTTTTGACAGAAAGGCCATAAGGTGACCTTTATTCTAAGGAATGTCGCTTATTGGAATACTGGAAATTTGTCTCTTATAGGACTGAGAGCTGTACCTTATTATAATGGATGTCCCCTGTCTGAGAGTTGGAAAGCTTTTCTTTTTATACTGGACTGAACAAGATGCCAACATTTTTCAACATTTCTGGAGTTTCTATAATGACATCAATCATTTAATTTTTGGATGTGGACAATATGTTAATTTTACAGGCACACATGTGGCTAAGTTAACTTAAATCAATACTTTTATTAGATATTCAGGTAAAATGCAAATTTGATCATAACTGCTTTCCAATTGTCAAAGCTGCATATCATAAATTCTGATAATCCTTTATTGCTATTTCGAAAATATAGCAAAACTATTTTATAGCCAACTTTAAAACCTGTATGAAAACACAAAACCAAACTGCACAAAATCAATCAAAAATATTTTCGTATACACAGCCAACAGCAACAGTCCTGAAAACATAAACTGCATTTTTAGTTTGCAAATGAGGGTGATGTCACAGTCTGAATTTCATTCTTTTTCTGCATGTTTAAAAACATGTAAAACATCCAGACACAGAAAAGATGTGCTTTTGTGTTTCTTTTCCATTTTTTGTGCTGAACAGTGACACCAAGTGGTAAATGACACAGAGAACCTGTGTAACCGTGAAACTCACAAAGAGTGAAAGCTTTTTTATTTAAAATTTGCTAATTCAAATTCAGCCTGCGATTCAAGAAAACATTCATGAGACACTAACATCCTCTAATTACAGCAATGATAGAATCACAGAATACACATGAAAACTATATTTGTTTAAAGCCAATTGAGAATTATAAGAATCCATGAGGAAAAAAATGTCTCTGAAATATACAAAAATAAAAACATGCAGATCACAAACTGTAATGCAAAAATGGATTGAGCAAAGATTAGCCCTGAATTTGCAGCAGAAGAATTATTCATCTGCAGCTGATAACCATTCCTGGGCAGCTTTTTCCAATCTGAATATGTCCATCATTTTCCCATCACCATGGAGCTGGCTTCAGTAGTGTAACACCATATGATGGATTCCATAAAGTCAACATGGCAAGGGTTCAGTCGTCTAGCATTCCCAAATGAAAAATGTGCAGATTAGTGATTCAACAAAGTTTCTGGCTTCATTGAATATGTAGTTTGGCATCCAGGTTAACAAATATTCTTCTGCTGCTATTTTCATTTTGCATTTTTTCCATATTTTAATAATTTCACTAAGTACTACATCATATTGCCAGGCACTTGACATTTGTTACTATCAACAAAGCTTTTGGTTGTGCCAGAATAACTGTTCTCTATATTCTATATAACAATATGTGCCAGTTACTCATGAACAGATTGACTTGCATTTCCTGAAGCCTCTACATCTGTGTGATGCAACTGATTGCACTCCTACCTGCAATAGGCTTGATTTAACTACTTTTCTTCCCTGGGGATGACTGAGTGGCTTGTCTCTCTGCTGGCGGATGGTACGGTCAAATCAACACAGATTTCTGTTGTGGGCCATGTGTTAAAATGAATTCCTTAATAGCTCTAGCATATCAACTTAAATTAGTTTCAGTTTTCTGAAAAGCTATTCTGCTGTTCCGTACCAATGATGCCAAGTTATTCACATTCTGGGAAAAACCTGAGATCCAAACAAAACTACATAACTAGTTTTCCATACTGAAGAAGGTTTAAGGCAAAATATCCACTCAAGATTCATTCAAGTACTTCTTTGGATCCATGTGTAGTTGCTAATCTTAACTACATAAATGAACAATTTTTGCACATACCAAATTATTAAATTTACAATTTAAAGTCTTCTGAATATCTAGATCAATTGACACGTATTTGGACAGAGACAACCGAATGAATTGTTAGAAGTAACTTGTATCGATATATTTCTCTTTGTGTCCTCTCAAACACTTCATAAACGTGTTTTTGGTTACATAAATTTGTTTCCTGGAGAAATTATTACTGTTCTAATACAGGAAAACTATTGTAATTCAGATGGAATGTGAAAATGTGTTCAAACTAAGAGAGGAAGGAGGATTTTTTTTCTCATGCCCTAAAATATCTCTTACCTTCAGAATTTCAAGTCTTTGGTCTGAATGGATCCTCACTGTTACTTATAGCTGAAAGGGAGTGTACAACAGTTCTGCTCCCCTTAAAACCAGTTGCAGGCAAAAACTGACAAATGGAAGCTGCAGGCAATCTGACTTTACAGGTCAGCCTTTTATTACTTCACACATTCACAGACATGCTAAGATTCTTGTGTCCCGCTTATGAAGGTTTCTTGAAAAAGATTAACCCATTGATCTTCAACTATAAACTGCTTTTAGAGGAAAAATTGAAGTGTGTTTTAAACATATTTTATTCAATCGTTCTGTGACAACTGAAATAGTGCTCACATATAAATCTCTGCTGTGCTATTACTGTACTGGTAATAGATTTTTATAACATGGTTTCAAGAAACAGTACTTCTATTCAATACTACAATTTTTAAATAGCTCTTTATTTTATGCTCAATAAAAAGGTAGACAGACTGAGAATGTAGTGAATAATATTATGATGTTCGCATTATGGCAGTTATCTCGTGTATTTGGCTGTAATATATTGTTTAAATGCTTTATTTTCCAGAATCTGTTTACAAACACTGTACAGTGTTCCCTCACTACTTCGCAGTTCACTTTCCGCAAACACGCTATTTTACAGATTTTTTTAAAAAATGAATTTAAAATATAAAAGTAGAGAGGGAACACTGTATACCCTTTGTTCCTCTAGAGTAGATGCGGCCTCCTCCTCCTCTTCCCTCTTCCCTGATGAGGCCTTCCTCATCCCACATTTCCCTATGGCACCTCAGAGAAGAGGAGGAGTAGGAGCAGCAGGAGGAGGAGGCCTTCCTGTTGGGCTCCCACATGTCGCCCCAGGTCCGGGCTTCCACATCCAGTTCAAGCAGGCTTCCCTGCTGCTGCTGATGTTACTGCCATAGAGGTGCTGGGCCTGAGCGAGGAGCAGGGTGAGGCAGCCATGGCCCTGTCTTGGCGATCCCTCTGCTACCACTGCCATTGTGCCCTGTCCCGCCTCCAGAGGAGCCTGACCTGGAAGAGGAAGGCCGTGAGTGAACGAGAGTGCATGGGGGTCGGGAGAGAAGAAGGGAGGAGGGGGCACCAGCATGCAGGGAAAGAAAGGCAGGAGATTGTGTGTGTGTGTGTGTGTGTGTGTGTGTGTGTGTATGTGTATATATATATATATATATATATATATATATATATATATTCATTTCATGCACTTTTACCCCGCCGCTCTCCCCCCAAGGGGGGACTCAGGACAGCCTCACATAAGCACCGTACAATGCTATAATCATACAAATGGTCAACAAATACATTAAAACATTAAAACAATTCATTAAAAACAAATACACACACACACACACACACACTGTAGCGTCCCTACTTCGTGGATTTTCACTTGTCATGGGTGGTCCTGGAACGTAACACTCACGATAAGTGATTTTATAAGACTGTACCCCACTCTTCTCCTGGTCTATGATCGTAATAAAGATTCATTTGTTATACACACACAACATTTCTAGATTCACAGTGTTCTAACAAATTTCTTAACACTGTTCACCTTTTCACTATTTTGATCTCACACATATTGCTCTTAATCAAAGAACAAGAACAATGTTTTGCAGACTTTAAGTTTGCAAATTGATTTTATTATACTTGGGAGGATG